CAGGGGGCCAGCCGCGGGGACGCCAGGGGCTGGCGGGGCTGTGCACACTGACTTGCGTGATTCTGCAGCCTCTTGCGGTCCTCCAGGTTATACTGCAGCTCCTCCAGCAGCTCTAGGTAGCGGAAGAGGGAATCACGAGGCCATAGCACTTGTACATCCTCATTTTCATCAATGAGTCTCTTCAGGTTCTTCTGTATATATGTCTCCCAGTCCGCTGCCAGAGGCAAGGCCTCAGAATCAGGGCTGGCAGAAGCTCCCCTCTCCTGTCCTCAAACAGCCCCGCTCGGTCCTGCCTCTCCCTGGCTGGCCAGGGACGCACACCCCCCTCCTGCTGCGAGAGGAGGAACGTGGGCTCCCTGCTCTCCCCTCGGCCTCCTGCCTGGCTCGAGCTGCGGGGCAGCAGAACTCACAGTCCTTTGCGGCTTGGTCTATGGGCAGCTTCAGTTCAGAGCTCTTCTTGGACAGTGAGACGGCTTTGCTGCCATGGTCGGCCTCTTGGTCCAGTACCCTGGTGCAGGGAGGAAGCCTCAGGTGAGCACTGGCATGGCTGGCCCCTAGCCATGTTCCTCCACCACCTGCTTCCGTATTTGGACAAATCTAAACTGACAAAATCTGTTTTGCTTCTGGAGTGGGGAAGGGGACAAGATTTATCAGACATGACTGGTACAGAGCTACTGTTCCCGGGAGGGCATCAGGAGGAGCCCCAGGACACCTGGGCTGTGGCTGCTCCTGCCCAGGCCCCGCATGTCCACACTCACCTGGCAGAGCCACTCTGCGAGCTCTTGATGCCTGTCGAGGACTGGCTGTGTCTCCTGCAGAAGAACAGGGAGAGCATCACTAGGGAAGGATCTTCCTTGTGCCGCAGAGCCCACATGCTGCGGGCGGCATTTTCTCTGGCAGGGGATATGATCGGATGTTCTCATCTCTACCTTTCTCTAATTTGTATTCTAAATAAATCCACTTGCTTCTGGCTTTCTATCTGCTGCGCTTCTTCCATTAGGTCACTCCGGATGGTTTGGAAGTTACTCACTGGGAAGTAAAGTTGTGAGTGCTGGGAAGAGGGTCTTGGAAACATGGAGGGAAGGGGACTTGAATTTGTGGGCTTTCCCCAGGGTGCTCTGCCTAGGGAAACAGGCTGCTTAGAAAGGGCTGCACCCGTTGCCCCTATATCTTGCTGCTCTGCACTCAGGAGAGCTGGGGAGTGTGGGAAGCACTTCCTAGGGCCCACAAAGTGAGAAACCACAGCTGGGCGCTGGTTTCCAGGCTCCCTATCCACGAGAGAGCCAGGTTAAAGTGAACATGAGAGTCAGCCACGGCCCCCACCCCTCTGCCTTCTGTTGGGCGCTTGTCCCACTGCCAGCAGCAGCGCTCGCTGCCGAAAAGGGCAGCACCCACCTCCCCTGCCCAAAGCCAAGTGCTGCCCTTGCAGTGGAGCAGGAATTGGACAGAAAAGCACCGTGTGAGTTGTTGGGGGGCCCTGCGGAAGGAGGCTGAAGGCTGGGCCTGGCCCTGAGCTCACCCATGATGGCCACAATAATGTTCTTGAAGAGGAAGGACCCGATCAGCAGCCAGAGGATGATGTACATCCCACTGATAAACTTGTTCATATTGGGAATCTTCCAGGTGTCCTGGAGCAGGTCGTACCAGTGGTCCATGGTGAAGAGAATGAAGACAGTCACCACAGCGCTGGAAAAGGAGCTGCAGACACAGAGCGGCTCTGCCCTGCCTGGGGTCTGTGCTCTCCTCTCCACCAACCGTGTGCGCGGCCGCTGGGTGAAGCCCAGGCCCAAGAGCCCGGCTGCCCCCCGCTCCACCTGCAGCGCGTCCTGCCTCGCGCCCGCTGCCCAGCTGCTCCAGGCCACCTTGAGGGTGCAAGTGTTACTGCTACCAGGTGGGGTGCTGGCCATGGAGGGCTGCAGCAGAGATCTCGCAGGGGCTGGGACCTGCTCATGCAGTGGAAGGCAGAGCACAGCATGGCAGTGCCCATCTCAGCCCACGGAGGAGCAGCTTCCCTCCCAGCGCCGCGCTGCCCTGCGCCCCGGCACCCCACGTGCGCCTGGCAGCCCCGGGCAGCACCCGGGCAGCCCGAGCTGCAGCAGCAGCTCTGCCTCCCTAATGCTGCCGGAGCACTGGTCGTGCTGCGGAGGACGCTGCCCAGGTGCCTGGTGCTAGGATGGTGCCAGTGCCTGGGATCAATACTGCACATCCTGGTGCACCAGGAGAGAAGCTCCTGGAGAGGAGCTCCTGCATCCTGGAGAGAAGCCCTCCTGGGAGGAGGAGCCCAGGACAGCAGGCAGAGCTGCAGGACATCGAGCCTGTGTGACAGCAGCACCTTACCTGAAATAGTCCTTGTATTTTTCATCTGCGGAGTTGGAGTGGGTGTAGTTCTCAAAGAAGAAGACACCAGAGACAGAAAACACGTAGAAGAAAACGAGCAGGAACAGGAGGATGTATGTCATGGCCTGGGTGGGAGAGGTGGGTTGTCGGGACAGGAACTCGGGGAGGGGCTGGGCTGGGGCAGTGGCTGCTCCGAGGTGCTCGGAGCCAGCCTGGAGCATCAGGAGTGCTGGGGCAGGGAGCGGGGGGCAGTGGGTGAGGACACGTGTTGCTGTGCAGTAGGGGACAGGCTGCTGGGAAAGGAGCAGCGACAAAGGGGACCTAGGCATTAGATATGTGGCACAGCAGTGGCTTTGCCACTGCCACTGCGTCGCAGCCCACCTTCAAGGCCTTTGCTATGGCCCGGATGATCAGCCGGACCTGCTGGAACCGGCAGCAGATCTTCAAGGAGCGGAGGATGCGGAAGACGCGGCGAACTCTCTTGGAGACAGACTCCTCTGCGATGTGGAACAGGTACAAGAACTCGGGGATGAGTGACTGTGGGCAGGACACATTGTGGAGGGCTCACACTGAGGGCCGAGCCGTGGCCCTGCTGCCGCGGCCACCCCACGGTGCAGCAGCCCAGCCACCTCCCTGCGCTACAGGGCCCAGGCTGTGGAGAAAGCCCCTGGCCCAGGGGATGGAGAGAGAAGGGTCTGCACCAATTATTCAGAAACTACGAGTTGGACCCCAGAACAGACATCAGCTCCACAAATGTCCATGCTGTCTAGTTTTGCCACGGGTAACCCCAGTTTCCAACCTCCAATGTTTTTCACCAATGGGAGCGGAGCTCGTGCAAGTAGGTGACCCTGGAGGTCTGGGGAGGGCTCAGGCAGCTGGGGAGACACGAGGTGGCACCAAGTTGGGCCAAGCAGGAGAGCGGGGCACAACTCTGAGCAACCCTAAGCGTGGGGCAGGCGCAGCGCTGGGATAGGCAGCCAGAGCCCACCAGAGGGGCCTGCAGGGCAGCGAGGGATCCCCCTCCCCAGCACAGCCCCCATGCTGTGCCCTGGTGCCACCTCCAGGCACTGAGGGTGCTGCTCGGGGCTGGCCTGGGGCCTCTTACCACGAAAGTGATGGTGCAGTCAAAGATGTTCCAGCCATTCTTCCAATAGCCCCTGAAGTTCACCAACCAGTTCAGCACAATGTCAATGATGAAAATGATAGCAATGACCCAGACCGCTACCTCCAGGGCTGTGGTGATGTTGCGACTCACGGTGGCCACCTTCATCAGCTCTGGGGAGCAGAGGGGACAGTTGTGACATTGCTCTCAGCAAGAGGAGACAAGTTACAGGAGGGCAGGAGGGAGGCTACTGAAAAGGACACAAGGGCTGGGAGGGAGATGCTGAACCACGTCCAGCCCGGCTGTGCTGGGAGAGGGCTCAGAGGCTGGGCTTGGGACAGCCCCCTCTGGAGCCCTCGGTCCTCACACAGGTGAGATGGGTCCCAGGGGCACAGGAGGCTGCTGCTCTGCTCTGGCCACAGGCAGGGAAGGGGGGATTAACCACCACCAGCAGTTCAGCCGCTAGTGCTGGCTCCTGTGGGCACATCTTGCTCAACTGCTGGGCACAGAACGTCCCCCAGTGGCTGCCCTAAGCCCACAGCGATGGCCCCTCTGGAGCTGCAGCGACCCTGCTGCACGAGGGCTCAGCATGGGGAGAATGCATGGAGCCAGCATGGAGGGGAGGCCGCTCCTGCTCACCACTTTTGATCATCAGGACGAGAGTGTTCAGGAAGATCAGGAAGATGATGAAGCTTCTGAAGAGTATGCCTGAGGTTTGCCATTGAGGAAAACTGGGGGCATGAAGTGCCTGTCAAACTCCATGGACATGAGCAATCACAAATGGGACCCCGAGATGTGCTATGGGACATGCTGCTCCACAGGGCAGCTCGGCTTGGTCTCAGTGCCCTGGCAGCAGAGCTCTGCCAGTGACAGATGACTCCGAGCACTGGAAAAGTTGCAAGAGGTCCCCATGGAAAGCTGTTTGGCAGCAGCCACTCACCAGAGAAGAGCATTCCAGGAGGGCCTGCCTGGGCCTCAGTGTTTCAGCCCTCCAGCACCAAATCCACTCATGCGGTCCCAGCTCATCCATGGCCGAGCAAACGCCATCCAGGCCACCCGCACATGGAGCCTCTCTCCCAGCAGGAACGAGTTTGACCCATCCCATACCCAGAGCTTCCCCCCCGGTCCTCAGGGACCTGCGTCCCACGGGCTGGCGCTGCTGTGGCCGTGGATACTGTGCAGGAGCCAGGATGCCCACAGGGCGAGGGGAGGCCAGTGGCTACTGCGGACCTCAATGCGGTTACGCAGGTGCTTCTCCGGGGTGACGAGGGTCTTCTTGATGGGCTTGATTTCAAAACGGACCAGCTGGTTGTGATCGCTGAGCATCAGCTTCTTCTGCTTTCTGGCATCTGTGGAGAGACTCCTGGGGGAATCTGCCGTCTCCCGTGCTCAGCAGGGGTGACGGGCACGTGCTGGGGGACGAGCAGCCCTGCACAAGGGCTGCCCAAGCAGCACCCTCCATGCATCAGGGACGGGGCACTGCATCGCTGGAGAAGGAAAGGACAGACTTTGCTGTGTCCGACTGCCCTGAGCAGGACATCCTGGATGTGGAGCTACCGCAAAGAGCCGCACACCGCTAGGATCAGCTGTGAACCTGCCTTAAACCAAGGCCTGTACAACCCTCAGCAGCCACCATGCTCCCTGCGCCAGTGCCAGCTTCCATCCAAGCACTTTGTGCCTGGCCTCCTTGTTCGCTCCCTGTGTGCAGCCTGGGCCAGGCCTTTTACTGGTGACCACACAGGGCTGTGCAGGAACACTACGGGAAGCTTTTCTGCACTGCAGCCACCAGTGCAGGATGCAAAAGGAGAGGCACGGCGTGTATTTTGAAGGTGGAAACAACAACTGCACTCTGCTGCACTCCAGCTCCTGGTTTCCAAGTTACTGGATGCAGAACAAATGCATTCCCACCTCCTGCTCGAGACGAGACCTGAGCAGAGGATGAAAAATGTTCAGGCTGGCTGACTCGCCATGTTGCAGCAATATCTACCCCAACAGAGGAGTGAGGAGAACGGATTCTTAATGTGCCCCTTTTAACTCTGCCAGAGTGAGAGCTTGGCAGATCTGAGGGGTCCTCAATGTTTATATTACAGTCATAAGCCCTTCCTTTTGAGGGGGAGATGGGTGCTGGCAATCGAGTGTGATGGGGGGTCATCTCTGTGTGCCCCCAGGACCCGTCCCCCGGCCCCACGCTGCCCGGCTCTCGTGCGCAGCCTCCACGGAGCCGTTCACAGCGCAGCGAGGCAGGCGCCCGTGCACTGGCTCCGCTTACCGAGGAAGTCCTTGATGTTGTGCCGGGGGATGGCTTGGCTCAGGCCCTGCAGGTGATCCATCAGGTAGAACATGCACACCAGCTTGGAGCGGATGGCCTCGGCCCGGGGAAGCAGCTTCACTGGGGAGCATCCAGCACCCCTGTGAGCCTCCGTGATCGGAAAGAGCGGAGGAG